GTTTATATTATGTGTGTTTAATACGTTAAGCTCAATATCTATACACACACATTATATCGATTTTCATATATATATATATAGTGATATATATATATATATATATACAGTGCATTTCGAGTGCGCACTGCTTCGTACGCATTGTATAACCTTTGGGTTTTTTTGCAAAAAAACAAAGCAACAGCAGCGATTAATGCACTGTTCTCGTGACCACTTGTTTCTCTCTCTCTCTCTCTCTCCCCCAAAAAAGCCCCAATCCCTCCTCCATCAGGCCCCAAAATCGGAGCTCCCCCATGTCCGATTTCTCCGACGAGCTCCAACTGCAACTCCAATCGGCCATCAACCAGATCCGCCTCTTCACCAACTCCGACGAGCTCGATCTCGAGATCCCCCAACTCAGGTAACCCTCCCTCCTCCCTCTCTCGACACCGTCTCCTATTCTCAGGTATTTGTTTCATTTTCCTCTCTCAGGTAACCCTCTCTCAGGTAACCCTCTCTCAGGTATTTATTTCATTTTCCTAATAAATTTTTTTTTGTTGTTGATTCTGATATGATGTCTTTTGTTCTCCTATTCTAATTGGTAGAAAATGGGAAAGAATCAGTATAGGCATTTGTCATTTCAGCTTGTTTTTCCCCTATTCTCAGGTATTTGTTTCATTTTCCTCTCTCAGGTTTGATTAATTGATTTGGGTTCTTTTGTTTTCGGAAATATTTGGAGGAAATCAACGAAATAAATGCCTTTTGGTTGACTCGCGACTCAAACCTCTAGCCTATGATGAATTCTTGAACCTCGATGCCTAATTTTCAGTCTCTGTGGTCGCAAGTATCGAAGCTTTTGTGAGAAATGAAAAACTTGAACACTGAAGTAGGGGCTAGCTGTCAAAATGAAGCTAATGCAGTAAACTTGGATGACAATATTTCTTTGATGCATTATAGGTAATCTTCTTTGTTGCAGTTGATATCTTTTTTGCTTTTTGTTTGCTTACATTTTCTGTATCAATCTTTAATTTCCTCAATTCTTACAGATGTGGCTTATAGGTTGTTGCAACATGGTTTGTGATCTCTCTAGCTTGTTGCTTGAGAGCTTCAATCCTCTTCTCAGCCGTAGGGGCTAGCATCCACTGTATCTCAGCAATATTGCATTGTTGCTTCAATACCAACCTCTTCATAAGTAGTCTAATAATGATCTCCATGGGTGTGAGTAGTGGGTTGTCTCTATGCAGCAAAAATCATCAGTCTCACACATGTTAGTCAACAATCAATCTGATTTGATTCGATATCTGAATGCATTCCACTGAGCTAGATTTTCAGGCATGAGGTAGCTATATGCTCCCTCATGCATATTTTTCATGACCATCATTGCCTCATCAAACTCCAATATTGTTACTACCCTACATGCTTTCCACGTATCATCCTCGAATGCTTTTCTTATCATATCTTTGCTTGAAATTGGCATATTTATGCCTACAAGAGAATCTAACCTCTCCTGTTGGTACAACAATGCTTAGAGCCTCAATTAATCCCTACAAAACTAGATAAACAAATCATTAGAACAATAGGGTTAAAAAATAGATGAATGAAACATGCACTAAAATGATAAAAATTTAAAATTATATCGCCTTTTGTCTACCAGATATGAAATCAACACCAACTTTCCTTGTTATCCAATATACTATGAGAAATATATTGAAAAAAATGGTGGTGTGATGGACTGTTTTTGTTGCTTCAAGCAAAACATTGAGGCAAATAAACAGAGATTAGCAAATAATGCAAGAGAAATAAGAAAAGGGAAGACTCTAGCCAACCTTGTGGATAACTTCTCTCTTGAATAAGGTACGTTCAACAATTTTCTTTCCTTGCAATTTTAGAACTTTTTGTTATTCTGAATTATTATGAAATGATAAGAATTGGGTCACTAATATTCAATAACAGTTCCATTTTCTTGAGATGATTTTTCCTTATGCCTGATTTATCATATATAATATGAAATATTGTCAGATTTTACCACAATGTAATGTAATCTATAAACTTTATTATTCAACATCTGTACAATGCATAATGTATAAGTGTAAGTAAATTAGGGGTCTTCATTGTTCTGCATTTTTAAAGAATTTTCAATCAATAATACATACATTATGAAGAAATAAAGTTACAGAAATTTCCAAGTGCAAGGAATTTATTGATTTTTTTAAGAACCACCTTAGTCTACCTCTCTTTTTCTATTTGTTCATCTTTGATTAATTGGTGTGCAGAGATGAATTTGGATTGATTGGCAACAATAATGCAAAGGTCGCCAAGAGCTCTTCTGCATAGAAGAGCAATTGCATCGGCTACATTAGAGTAGAAATGGAGCTTGGCTAGCAAACGTCTCCTTATTTTTGCATTTTATTTATAATTCTAGAAGTTTTATGGTTGTGTTGAGCCTGAATTTTGAGAGTAACTTATGTGATTTTATGAACCTTGAATTTTGGGAGTAGATTATGTACATAATTTGGATTCCGTTGGGTTTTTGTATGGGCAAAAGAAAAGAAACATGCTCTTGTGACGTTAGCAACTAGTATGCTGAACTCCTAATGCTCTTATGTTCCCATTTTTCTAATTTTTTTAATTGTGTATATTGTTTGTTATGTAAATTGGATGGAGAAATATATGTGTATATTTTATTACCTATTTTGTCGACGTTGCATTTAAGTATGTTGTTCTATGATTTGTAAATAGAAATGCAGGGAAATGTTACAGCTCAGCTTGTCAAATTTACGGTACCAACTGGTTGTTCTAACCAAGTGTTAAAGTTTCTTCTGTGAAAGTTTGTCAATAAATTTTCCTTTGCTTCATACCATTAGAAGAGTTGTCAAGTAAGAGAACCATATTGTTCAATACAGACATCCATACCAACAGCTCGAACTTTGCATCTGATATTCATGCACACTGGTGAGTATAAATCATGCTTGTCCGTATACGCTCACAGGTTGGATACAAAAAAGGTTAAAAAGGTGAGAATTTGGCAAGAGATGGTACACAGGTTTCATTTACATGTTCTGCAAACACACGCCTATGTTCGTTCAATCTGCGCATCATCAGAAGCAAAGACCATGATTAGATTTCCAACACATCAACTCCAATATGGAGTACCAGGAGAGTCTTCTATTCATCTAATCATATTTATATGTAGGAATACACCCATATGCTTTCAATTTCCTTCTTTTCCTTTCCTGCAATGGCCTGAACTTAACAAGAATGTGTAATGAAATTCAAGAGGAGAAGTTGAAGTTTGCCGCTTCAAGCCGATTTGATTCCTTCAATAAAGCATCACTAATATGTACATAAAAAAATTAACACATCTTGTGATTATAAACCGTAATCAATATGGGTTTTACTCTAATTACCTCAAGAGCTCATAAATTTCAATGGGATAAATGTGCTGGGCATTTCAACAAACAGGTCATGTGCATGAAAACTAAGTAAGAAAAGCATCATTATTGTAGAACTTTCGTATTGAGCAAAATGACAACCTCATTACGGAACAAAAACAAGCAACTCATGCCAATGATTATGTTTAATAAGTAGAAAAGCAATTTATTATGTTGCAAATAGAACTTCATTAACCAATTCAGAAAATTCCACAATCAGGACACATCTGAGGACAAACTCCCTGGTGAAAATTACATTGCTTCCCAAGCTTGAAGAACCCTTCAATTTACTCTCTTCAGAGTCAATTAATCAACGTTAACGACCATGGAGTTCATCCTCTCCAGGCTCTCCCCTTCCTCCAGCTCCAGCCTCGCCAGAACCCTCTGTAGATCCCTCGCCGATATGAGGGCGGGGCGGGGTGGGCGTGGACGAGGGCGGCGGGGCGGCATAGAACCCTTCAATTTACTCTCTTCAGAGTCAATTAATCAACGTTAACGACCATGGAGTTCATCCTCTCCAGGCTCTCCCCTTCCTCCAGCTCCAGCCTCGCCAGAACCCTCTGTAGATCCCTCGCCGATATGAGGGCGGGGCGGGGTGGGCGTGGACGAGGGCGGCGGGGCGGCAT